TTAATAACTGGTGGTTTATAAGGATATTTGTAATTTGATGCAATTTATCACCTTCAAACCTCTACTGCCTCGGTCGCAAGCGACCTCGGCTCACTAAATAAGAACGTTTTCATCGGGTACACAACATTATTAAGAAATATTTGTAATTTGGTGGAATCTATCACATCCAAACCTCTAATGCCTCGGCCGCAAGCGACCTCGGCTCAATAAATACAAACGTTATCATTGGGATGTACTCTATACTTTTGAAAATCGCACCAATTGATTAATAAGTGGTGGTTTATAAGGATATTTGTAATTTGATACAATTTATCACCTTCAAACCTCTACTGCCTCGGTCGCAAGCGACCTCGGCTCACTAAATAAGAACGTTTTCATCGGGTACACAACATTATTAAGAAATATTTGTAATTTGGTGGAATCTATCACATCCAAACCTCTAATGCCTCGGCCGCAAGCGACCTCGGCTCAATAAATACAAGCGTTATCATTGGGATGTACTCTATACTTTTGAAAATTACACCAATTGATTAATAACTGGTGGTTTATAAGGATATGTGTAATTGGATACAATTTATCACCTTCAAACCTCTATTGCCTCGGTAGCAAGCGACCTCGGCTCAATAAATAGACGTTTTCATCGAGGAGTACACAACATTATTAAGAAATATTTGTAATTTGATGGAATCTATCATATCCAAACCTCTAATGCCTCGGCCGCAAGCGACCTCGGCTCAAGAAATACAAGCGTTATTATTGGGATGTACTCTATACTTTAGAAAATCGCACCAATTGATTAATAAGTGGTGGTTTATAAGGATATTTGTAATTTGATACAATTTATCACCTTCAAACCTCTACTGCCTCGGTCGCAAGCGACCTCGGCTCAATAAATAAAAACGTTTTCATGTGGTGGTTTATAAGGATATTTGTAATTTGATACAATTTATCACCTTCAAACCTCTACTGCCTCGGTCGCAAGCGACCTCGGCTCAATAAATAAAAACGTTTTCATCGAGTACACAACATTATTAAGAAATATTTGTAATTTGATGGAATGTGTCACATCTAAACCTCTAATGCCTCGGCCGCAAGCGACCTCGGCTCAATAAATACAAACGTTATCATTGGGATGTAGTCTATACTTTTGAAAATCGCACCAATTGATTAATAACTGGTGGTTTATAAGGATATGTGTAATTGGATACAATTTATCACCTTCAAACCTCTACTGCCTCGGTCGCAAGCGACCTCGGCTCAATAAATAAAAACGGTTTAATCGAGTACACAGCATTATTAAGAAATATTTGGAATTTGATGGAATCTATCACATCCAAACCTCTAATGCCTCGGCCGCAAGCGACCTCGGCTCAATAAACATAAAAATTATCATCGGGATGACCACAATTTTTTTTTAAATCGATCAAAATTGATTAATAACTAATTATTTTCACGGAACACTTATAATTGTATGAAAATTTTTAGGTTCAAAGCCATGTTGACAAAACACCACCATTAATACAAAAAAATCTCTGTAGGTGGCACCACGTGACGATGATAACTACAAAAACTATAAAGATCTAACCTCAAAGTTTGTAAAAATCGATGATTTTTGGTTAAATCGAAGATACATGTAATTAAAAAAACGTATTTATCGGGTTTAAACTTGAATATTTATAAGTAAACGTCGATTTTAATCGGGAAAATACATCAAAATAAATTTTTCGAGAACATTCTAGAATGTTTTGGAACTTTGGTTACTAAAACACGAAATTTAGATTAAAAACGAAGTAGTACTCACCGAATATTGATGTTATTCTTATATTTATGTCTCACTTTGTATCTTTACACGAATTTAACTAAATTTAATCGGAAATATCACCAAAAATTGCACCGCTTAAAACACGCGTGGTGGTTTTAGGGGACGATTTGAAACACTAACCAAAACGACATCTAGCGGCCGAATATTAGGGGGGAAAAATATTTGTGAATAATAAATTAAAAATTCCTTTAATATCAAAATAAATAATTTGTTAATTAAAAACGATTTAATTAAAAAATTAATTAAATTTGGATTAATCGGGATTTTGGGGGTCATTTAACTCAATAAAAAATTAGAGGTGGCGCCACTTAAAAACGTGTTTTCTAACCTCTAAATAATCTCAATAATTTATTCCAAATTTAAATTTTAATTGTTATACGAAAATTAACAAATAAAACTAAATAGTACTCACTGAATATGTATGTTATTGTCGTTTGAGCGTTTTGTAAGCAACTTATACGATGGGTTTAGCAAATCTTTTGATGTACTAATGAGTAACGCTACCTATCGTCTGTGAGTTTCTGGTTTTGCGGTTAATATCAAAGGAGGTAGAAATAGATATGAAACATATAGATATTAGCATAATACTTGCATTCAATGTTATAGTTTGTAATATACAAATTAATTAATGTTTAATTTGTGAGTGATAAATAATATTTTGAGGGGGTTGATTTCACAACAAAATAATTAAACTCTAAAATTTCAAAGACCATTTCTCTAATTAAATATTGAAGCACCGAATGATCGGATTAGTAAATTACGTAATTGTTGCAGTACAAATGGTATCTATTACAAAAGCGCAGTGGGATTTTGATTAATACATTTGATGGTTCTACTAAAGGTAACATCACCGTTTGGTCAATATATTATTAACCCGTACAAAATCGAGCCACTATTGTGGAAAAAAGCATTGAAAACGAAATCGATAGCTCTTGAACTGTAAAGCCGGGTCTGTGAATTCTCTGTGCCGTCGCTTTTGAAACTATCGATTGCACAGTCCGCCGGAATAAATACTTACCAACTTCCCCCGACCCTTATTTTTTTCTATACAAACGAATTTCGTAGTACGCGAATTTTTAAGAAAGTAAAATTGGAAAAAAAAATTGTTTCGCATTACAAAAATCGATTTTTGATTTATTGAGGACCGCAGCCTGAAGCCGCATTCTTGATAAGGTGAGTAACCATGTAAAAGATCGTAACAGAATTCATAAGCAATGCGAGTTACGTCACCTATTATGTCATCGCACAAATCGTCGAGAAGATTAAGGTTAAATTGAAAAAAAAGCTGTTAGTTTTCAGAATTGAAGACATTGACTAACACAATTTAACTCAATTAAAGGTGTTAATATAATTCTTAGAAAAACACAATTATGTATAAAATATAAATGTTATGAGTTCACATTGTTATTCGTCCCAAAAACATTCGAATTTATTAATAGTAAATGCAGTTGTTGCCACGACAGATGTAAGAAGCGGAACGAGCAAGTTTGATCATAAATCCCGCAAACAAAATAATTAATAACAAGTTAGTTAAATATATGTCTCGAAAGCATCGGGTGAACATATAATGTACGAGTTCTGATCTCCATAATTTGCTCATTCGTCCTAATTTCAAAATGTGGGCCAAACCGTTGACCGGATTCAGTAGTCGTACATATATTTCAATGGCAGATAAAAGTCGCCACCCGGACGACGAAAGTCGCCCGTTTCAAATAATCGATCTGCACAGGACAGCCTCTTATTATGGCATTAAGACTAAACGGATCTATTGCGACCCGCAGAAAACCTTTTAACATAATGAAGGTCGCCCACATTAGTCTTTCCCCAGAGCGATCTATTTGAGATTGCTATTCTAAATTTATCACTTTCCGTCCATCATCTCCACACAAATGACACCCGAAGAAAGGTTAACATCTCATTATATACCTCGAATTAATTTGGAAATTAAATTGAGTGCCAGAGAAAATTAACTAATTTATTTACGTTTTTTTATGTCATCGCATAGACAACCAACATCGCGTCATTAAAGATAACCTTATCAAGTAAAAACACAAAGTTAGAACCAAAGGTCTTTATATTTCCTGATTAATGACTCACTCATAATTATATTATTTTAATTATCAATCCAAGAAAATCTAAAAATGACTCAACCGAAATGATTAAAACAAATTCTAAATAAAAGTATCTAATGATTACATCTCACTTAGTATTCTATTATTAGAAAATATAAACTGAACAACAAACAAAATATATACAAATGTCTAGACATCACCAATAAAGATAGTTTTATTTGTTATTCAAATAGTATTCGATTTTGGGAGTTTCAATAAATATTAAAATTATTCTTTAATTTTAATATAAGAAAAATAATTTAAGAAAACATAATTTTCTGATTCTCAACCGGTTTCGATTTTTTTATGATCATCTTCAACGATTTTTGATATGTTCTCAACATGCCCAGACATTCGAATAGACATGAAATCAATGAGATTATTGAATCTTGGATGTCTTTCTAGGCATTCTGCTCTCTCCTATAAACTTGGATGTCGGTAATTGAGTCCTTCATGGACAGGTAATTCATTTTTGCCGTTTCCTTGCTATGGTTAAGCTACTTACTGCTGCAAAGCTAAAGTTGTAAAAAACATTAAACTTACATGATGCTAAGTAGCAAATAGTTATATAAAACGAGGAATTGATAGATTTAAGGCTAAATACATCCACTGGGATTCTAGAAGCCAACATACATGGCTCAGAGATTCGAACAGGAATATTTTATGAAATATGTGACAGTGCGATATGACTTAGATCACTTCTAGTCTTCTTAATTAATAAGAAGGAGAATTAGGTAAAGTTTCAAAATTGATTTGGAACAACTTAAAAGCCCTAATACACATAATCCTTTTCACTAGAGTACCAGTCAAAGCAATGCGAAAGTGCTATGATTGCCAATTTTTACGTGGTAAAATCTTCTTCAGAAGTAAAATGAAATTTTGAAGCCATTTTGAAAGTTAGGGTTGGATTGTGTTATTGAGGATGGGTAAATAAAAGTATCTAATAATTAATCTGAGTATTATATTATTAGAAAATATAAAACTAATCAAATAAAGTATATACGACCATATTTCTTATTCAAATAATATTTGAATTAGGGAGTTTGAATAAAAATAAAATCGATTCTTCATTTTTAATATGAAGATTTATTAAGAAAAAAACTGCTAACAACACCCCTCTACAATGAAAATAAAACTAACATAATATAGAGATGCTCAATAGTAAAATACGTCAAAACCATATTTCTTAAAATAAAATAATGAGAGCTTTAATTTATATATAATCCTTTGTTACTTGATCTTTAGGGATTATCTTAACAAATTTGTATCGTCCGTCATAGGATCTGATTTAATGGGAAAGAAAGGGCTTCAAAGCATACTGTGTTTGTGTAATTGCGGGCAGGTTCTTTGATTTAATGCAATGGAAAGGAAAGAGAGCTTAACTGTAGGATGCGTAGTTGGGTCTGATCTATACACAGATCAGATTTGATGGAGTGAATAGAGGGCTTAAGAGGGATTGTATTTGTGTAGTTGGAGTGTAAATCATCTCTCATTATTGTAATTCTAAATCAATGGCTCACATAAAAATATATAACCTCTAAAATAAAATAAAATTGTGTCATCCGTAAAATGTCTCCTTGTTTTTAGTCTTCTTTCTCAAATTTCTCCCTTGCTTTAGCTAAAATAGCTCTTAACTCTGATGATCTCACAGTTTGGTACTAATAAAATAAATTCATAAATTTGTGAACTAAATTAAACATCCAGTTTATACTTACACCGCAAACGTTTTTCTGAATAGTCAGCTGAGAATATAATCTTTTCCCTTCGAGGGGACCGGCTATTTTTTCAGCATTATCTTTGTTTAACCCCAAAATTTGATGTCCAGAAAAATTTTTTAATTTTGTACAAACCGATGGTGAGAACTCTTTAGCAGCTAACCAGCTTTCGACCTCGGACGGATTTGACTTTTGGTTTATGTACACCTCTGGGGTCTGTTTAATGTCAAGATCAGTTCTCTTGTTGCGGAATAACGACAGCACTGTGTTAAGCTCGTCATACATTTTCTCCCCGTTTGTCATAGTTGATTTAATCGAAGCCGTACGTTTCAATGTCGAAACGGGGGTTGTTGGTGCCGTGTCAATTGGAGGCATTGGGGGTGGCGGTGGAGGTGGAGTTTCTGGTTCTAATTATATTATTTTTAATTTAGCTACCAATTAACACCAACACAAAAGCAACATTTAAAGACAATTTCGCTCCCTGAAGATGATTAAACAAATCGAAATCGGTCGAAAATATTTTTGAGTAAATTATACCAAAAAAAACACGTTATGCGTGATTCTTATTTATTGCATAAACACATACGCTTAGACTACAAAGTTAGTTGCGGTGTTGTAGATAAAAAGAAAGGGGGGTATCATATATTGTACCCTAACCTATATAATCGTCGAACGCGATTTTGGGGAATAATGAATGAAATGACTCACCGAAAGGGGCTCCCGGAAAACCATAAACAGCCTGGAACGCGAATTGAATGAGAATAACGCACTATTTCACGAAAACCAGCATAATATGTACGCTATTTTAGCACTATTGTTAACTCGGACATCCCAACACATGTGAACTGATTTCAGGACTATCCGTGTGAAGTTGGCGTTTTACGTTTATTAAAACGGACGCAAGGGGGCGTCACAAAAAAAAAATAAAAATTTAAATTATGGCGGGTTTTCAAAATAAAAAAAAATTAAATTTGAAAGATCTATTTTAAAGTAAAAAACGAGAAAATTATGACTCCCCAACGATCCCCTGGCCTTTGTTTATAATAACGACGAGATCGTACTAAGATCTTAAACCACGCTGCTCCTGTACTTTTTCGTTTCGGTATTTTTAGTACCAGCTTAGATCTAAATTTAGACTACTATAGACTTCGCATACACCAGAATACGTTAATGAATTGTGTTTCGAAAGAACCCGACTTAATTTAAAAGAGCTAAGAGAAAAACGAACCACCAGAGATTGCTTTTTTAATAATTTAATCACTTTTAATTGAAACGCGAGATTTGTTTGATTCATCGGGTTACGAAACTATTTGAAAAATTCGAATAAATATTGTTGCCAAATATTCGCCCTATTATAACTACAAAACGGTTAAATAAGCACGCGACATAGTTGCTTAAATTATTCGAAATAATAAGCACCAGCCAACAATCGACAAAAGCTGGTCCATTTTATTTCGCTTAAATTATCATGTTATTGGTAAAATTAATACAATTAGAAAAAACTTATATACAAGTGCCCCCAAAAAGAATAAAATCTTAATCTCATCTCCCTTCTATTTTTTTAACCAAAAGAATACGTAAAAAGGTGTGATCTTTTTTTGGCATGAGCATGATTAAAATTACGTAAAAACCTTCAATGTCCCAATAAAAAAATACAAACGAGAGCAACGTCGACAACCACAAAATAAAACATTAAAACACTAGAACATATAACAAATGTACAGATACAAAGCGTTCGTACGTATTATTCAAGTATATAACAAAATAATAATAATAATAATAAAAATAATAACATATCGTACAATTCAGCAGACAAAACGGACGGAAGAGAGACGTTTACGAAGACAAAAATAATCCGGTCAAAAATACCGGAACTCTCCCTTCTTACCGAGCCTTTGCTGCCGAATTTGTTCCGCAGAAGCCGTGTTTACAGAAGGAGGACTTGAAACATGATCCGAACCGTGTACTTGGCCATCACTAAAGCGATCTGACGACGAATCCTAAAAAAAATTACAAGTTTTTAATCAAAAAATCATCATTTTTTAAAACTTTTTTATTTCAACGCTAACCGGTCTATTTCCATAATGAGCATAGAGTGGGTTGTTGTAAATATCCGGATTTACCTTTGTCACAATCGTATGTGGTACATGAGCAACTTCACCTTTGAAGTTACGAGCTTTCCACCATTTTCGACTATCATCAAGTATCTAAAAAAATTTGTGTAATTTTTAAGACAAAAATAATTAATTCAACTAAATAATTAAATTAATAGTTACTTCTAAATATTCTCCTCGCACAACAGTTAATTCCTTATCATTATTAGCTGTTCTAGGATAAGTAACTTTAACAATTTGGGCGTTCCTCTTTTGTAATGATTCCAACCAATTATCTTGAAGTCTTTTGAAGCTACGATCATCTCCATTACGCTCAATAGAATCAACAGAAATATCGCTGCGAGCACTTATAGGGTCCATGTCTCTTTCCGGTTCAATTTTCGGTTCTCTATCGTGATTGTCGCTGTATCTTCCGCCGTTTAAGAACATATTATCTTGATTGGAAGTGTCGTAATCGTTGTAGTCGCTGCTATACTCATTATGCATGTCGCGGAAATGTTTACCGTCCGATTCCAATTCATCAACGACTTTATAATCGGGACTCCATTTGTCAAGAAAGACCGGGTGATATGATGGTACTTGCGCTTTCCATTCATCTCTCGGAACTAACCAAGCATTTCCCAATGAATGCCATAACTCTGTTTCTTTACTTGTTACACAATTTGCAAGCAAATTAATTGCATCCCTTGTAAGTAAAGGTGCAATTACCTTATGGGGCAAATGAAGGTCGAAATAAGTATCGTGGGATGCTTCCACGATTAACGCAAGCGGTGTAAAAAGAAAATGAACCAGTTCCGGTGCGTTTGGATCGTGAATGTGGGCTCTTAATTTCGCAAGGAGGTTAAAAGAGAGTTTAAATTTTTGGAAAATATCAATAAATTCATTTTCGTGCGGTGGTTTGGTCCTCATCTTCAACATACCATCGCCGTTATAGCCCTTCTTACTCTTTCTATTCCGTTTTCGACGTTCAAGTTCTTTCGAAGCAGCAGCGGCAACTTGTAACCGGGCGATAAATTTTTCGATATCATCGAAACAATGATTTAAAACCGTCACGTCTCGTTCGTACTGATCGCTGGTGGTCGAACTATTGTCGTCGTTGTTGGTGGCCAATTCCGAGTCGATTTCCCGGTAATCTCTTGAGGCCATCACGTGTTGTCCTGGTGGTTTTTGACTTTGCGGCGGTATGCTTGTTTTTCTACTACGCGTTAATGTTTTTCCCATCTGAAGTTGTTTTAAATCTTCGACGAGGTCTTGGGCGGAGATACTCTGACACTGAGGAATAAAAAATAAAATTATCGATAACGATTTTTTGGTAAATTGATATCAGAGATAATAATAACGTTTTACCTGGAATATGTGCATTTCAATTGGATGAGATGAGTTACTATTTGTGACACTGAAAACGAGGATATTGTTGTACATTTCCATTGGATCTGCGCTTGTAAATGCTGTTGGTTCTTGAATGTTATCGTATGGAAATCGTTCCATAATACCCTAAACGAACAGAAACGTTTTGAAAGTTGTATTAATAAAGGTGGCTTTACTAACCCCAGTTTCGTAATCCATAATTAATATCGAAGAGCGGTCGAGTCTTAATTGCATTTTCTGTGACCAAATTCCATTAGATTTCTCCAATTGGAGAAGTCTTCGCATGCCATCTTTCGAATTGGTGATGCCATTATCTTTAGCTACGGTAAAAGTAGCGAGGTGTTCGACCAAATAGACGAGTTTGTCGTCGACGTTTCGGTCATCGCGATCTATGTCGTCATCCCGCGAATATCCATTGGAATGATAAGCCATGTTTTATGTTTTCTTTTAACGTTGCTTTTTAAATAAATTCGCGTTGAATCCTAAAACAATTCATCAACGATTGGTATCACGTTTAATTGAAGTCTGCCGACGATGATAATCGGTAGATAATAAATAATTTTTTTAAATTAATAAAATTTAAAAAATACAATAAAGCACGGTAGTTGATTGATTTTATCGAATTCAATTGGATATATTAAACTTAAAAGATACGTTTGTAGTCATTAAAAAATCGATTTGATAATATTTTAGATAATTAATAAATAATTTAATTTAATGGGGAAATCAAGTTAATTTAGAAAGTTGATAATTAAAAAATAAATAATAAATTTCAAAGGAAATTAAGTAATGAGTAAGATTTTAATCGCATTTTTTTAAATTTATTGACACAACCTATTGATCTCAATCAAATTTTGTGTGCTAAATATTTTTATTATCAGTGCACTGTTATCAATAATTTTACTGATAATAGTGAATCATTTTATATTGTGGATTTCGACGTAGATGTTTTGAAATAAAACGAAATCAAGAAAAGAAGCCGACGCGCACTTTCTCTGTTGCCGCAAAAGTAATTAATAAAATAATGGCGAGCTTGCCAGCTAAAGCGGGTACAATGAGGCAATGTTATCAAAAAGGAAACGACAAAACGGCAGTAAACACCGGAAATCGGACGACGGGAATTTAAATGAGCGAGCCCGCGTTTATCATTGTCGCTAAACGTTTGGAAATTGACGAAGAGAAAGTTAAAAAAACAAAAATTTTCTAATACTCAATTTATTTTATTTATCTAGGAAAAAAACTCTTATTTTCGTTTCCGCTAATTTCCAATAATCCAGTGAAAGCAACGTGCCTGTTTTTTTTTTTTGTAACATTAAACTAAGGATTAAAGAGCCATCAAAGATAAGATAAGAACTATTATTATTGTCTTACATCAGTTCAAAGCAATTTCGAAAACATTTTTCAAAAAAAATTTTTGAGTAATCGATTTTTTTAATTTTAATGATATCGTTCTATTTCAGACTCTCTTCGTCTCACAACACGAAATGTTGTCACTCTACGTACACATGCCACACCTTTAAGGCCGAGGTATTCGAGGAATGTCAACAATTCCATACAAACAACAACGACTTAATATTACAATGTAATATTTAAAAAAATTTAAATACACAATCCAAACACGTTTTCGTTAAATATTTAAGATGTCTTTTAAAAAAAATTAATCACTACTTTAAAAATGTTTAAAAAATATATTTAAAAAACAGTTGTGGAAAGCTTGGAAATGCGGAAATTTGCCGTTGACGGAGAACCGACGTGGCCGCATAACAATGCTGGGCGAAAAAAACGAGGACCGTCTCGAAGAACGACTCGGGGAGAGCTTATTTAAACGTGTTTGGGGGGCCAACGCGGGGGCGAACTCGAAATGTTGTCATACCAATCAGACGGAGTTGATGAACCGCATCCCTGGTACACTTTTTTCCGGTCGTCTTTTACGCACTCATTTCACTCGAAAACGTATCGCTTGAGTCGTCCGAAGTCGCTATCTACACGAACGCGTATACCTGTGCACCTCGCACACCTGACGGTAAATTTCAGAGATTGCGCACACCGCGCTTAGCTCTTAGGCGCCATTATTGTGCCTCAGGTAAACCGTAATTAAAATACCTGGAGGGAAACACCAAATGGTTTTTGCAAAATCAAATAAGAAAAACAACATTACAAATGAAAAACTCTTCTAATCCAAGTTTTTCCTTTTTAATCGCATTCCCTAAAAAAAATTACAAAAAACACATTTCAAAAAAATTATTAATACATAAACATTACCTTAGATATTTTTAATCTTAATCAGACATTCCTCAAGGAAAAGTTTTAGATAAAAAATTCCCAAAAATTTTAATATTTATCAACAGGTGGTGACTCGAGTGCCATCTACATTGAGTTGATGCGCGTATTTATTACGATGATGTATCTTCTTAATCTGAAACATATCAGTGAATAACTTTTAAAATGATTTTATCTTGAATTTTATTCCTCGAAATCTCAGAAAATAATAAAAAAATAGGAACGAAATAAAAAATAATTTTTATGTAAAATACTTTATTACAAATGGAAACGAATAATTAATAATAAAACGCAATGGCTTCGCGAAAAAACAGTCTCTCGTATATAATAGCGTTTCGACAAGAACGATAGCGACGAAATTTCGACAAAAAATGTTGGTATAAAGTTATAATAATGCGCAATAATCGATCGTATATTAAATATATCGTATATAACGACTTCGTAATGTATGAAGGTATGCAAATGATTCCTCGGTTCGTACTCAGTTTGAGTATTACGAGGACAAAATGTAAGTGGTAGCTATAATTAGGCGTTAAGTTTAGGAAATATATATATTTATTATGTATATATCTAAAGACGGTACTAATTTGTTTAATTAATTGTACATTATTCTTCTTCTTTTTTAATTTTCGCGGTGGAACGTATCAAAATTACCCCATTATTTTATTCAGGGCATTCGTTTCGTTCCGTCACTTATCACAAAATTGACTAAAATACGTTCAGATCGAGAATTTTGAGTGTGCACGCGTAAGATTGCAAAACTGTAACGTATAGCATTTTTCTTTTTGTTCTTGGAGCTACGTAAAATTAATTAGAAGAATATATAAAGATAATGTGCCGGTATACGTACATTTAAATTATATCACAAAGGGAGAGGGAGGAAAAAGGAGCAATAAATAAAGAGCTAGTGATCTCAAAATGACATCAATAGTTAGTTACATTCTACGCTTATACAATTATGACGAATGTAAATGTAAAATTACTACGCCTACAGACGATATGTATTTTTTTTATATCTAATCCGAAGATTGGAAAAATTTGTAGGAAGGTTCCGGCTTCCGGCTATTTACAAACACACGCGGCCTCCGTCGCTTGGTACCCCATCTAAAATGCCAAATGTCAAAACTTTATCCGCGGCTTGATCTCTTGCGCCACACCACCCCACGCCAACTTATAAATCCTCGATCGCCATTTTATTTCCGGGTCGAATATTGCATGCAGAAACAAGTACGGGCCTGAACACTCTCTGAATAACCACGCGACAACGAAATCGAATTTATTAAAAGGTAATGAGCCATTCTGAAACAAACAAACATTTTCTCAACCTCAAATAATTACTATTATATATATTATTATAATATAATTTAAAACCTATATCATAAAAACAGAGACAGGAAAACATGATTCGAAGAAGGATATTAAGGACGATGTTGATGGATATCATGAATAATATTGGGAGATGATTACAAATATCAAGGAAGATGATAATGATGACGATAATGATTTAATAGAGACTTTCCAACATCCTACACACTCCTGAGTGTTGATATATATTAGTCGAAAGACGATGAGAAATGCCATAAGAATGATTAGGAAGGCAAAGAAACATATTGAGTTTAGCGATATCAAAGGCGATGTTAAAAAAGTTGTAAAATGTGGTTTGATGTGGAACACCTTAATAATACAAGCAAATACTTTCTATCTCTTAGCTAAAAAAGAAATTAGATAACCTGGCTCCTATAAAACCAAGAAATTGTCGAATTCTGTTATAATTAAATTCGTTAGTGTCTGGGACAAAGTTATTATAAAACAAAGCTAAAAGATTCTCATATTTATTGAATTAAGGACTTCGTTTGGTATAGTATAGTTTAAATTATAGATTCGCGTACGCGTGTCGACTTAATTAACTTAATTTTTTATTCAAATCAACCTTCAACCTTAATGGAATACTTAAATCACCTCTTCATAAACTCAGAACCCAAATATTAAGTGTTGTACAGAGTGTTATCACATTTTACAACTAACAAATTATTAGTTTGACCACAAAAAATAAAATAATCCTGAGATCAATTTGACATAACTTCATTTCTTTGACTAATAATAACCAATCTGAATTAATTCACTTGAGCCTGTGTATTATTTTATTTTTTTGTGATCAAACTAATAGTTTTAGGAGAAAACGTCAAGAGATAAAAAAGTTGCGTATTGAATCCCTATACATAAATCAAATTTTTAAACAGTAAAAGTAGAGGCTTTAAAAAGTTATGATGCAAAGTATTATAGGGGTTGATTTTTATATTATAGGGGTCAAAAAGTGCCTGTGTAATAAAATTGTGTTCTTGTTTCAAATGGATTAAATAAATATTTTACATTGAATGCATGTTTTAATTCAATATTTATTAAATAGAAGTTTTAACCAACTCTGTACATACAGGTGTCCCAGGATAGATGTTATAACGACTTAAAAATTTTCGAAATTCATTTTAAGGCTAAGGAATTAAGCGCTGTTTGGTGTGAAGAGAATTTTAAGAACATTTTCATATTTTGAAAACAAAGGCGGCCTTGACTATGAATCGAAAACTATTTTTAGATTAGGTAAAGTAATCTTTTTGTTCATGATACGGAAAAATGTTATTAAGAAAAGTTGTTCAAAATGAGAAATTATGGTCCTATACAAAATTTCAGAAGGATCTATCTACTTTGGTTGAACCATCACATTTTAATTTAACTAACAAATATTGTACAGTAATTGAAATGTGAATTAAAACTGAGGGATAATACAATTTATTTGTTAATATTTGCGACTTAAGTCATTTTTTTTTCATGGCAGTTTTCATTGTTTTTTTTTTCTTCACTCTGATCTAATTTAAAATATGGTGGTTTAATTAATGTAGGTAGATCTGTCTGAAATTTTGCATAGTGCCATAATTTCTCATTCTGAATAACTTTTCTTAATGACATTTTGCAGTATCATGAACAAAAAGCTTACTTTACCTGAACTCAAAATAGTTTTCTTCACTATCAAGGCCGAGTTGATTTTCAAAATATGAAAATATACTTAAAATAACATTCAAAAATGTTTAAGTCATTATACCTCTTGTAACATCTATCTTGGGACACACTGTATACTTACATAAAACTGTATTATTTTTTTTTCTATATAATAGAAGAGTACATTGTCACTGTAGTTATTTTCAAAGTGATAACCCAAGAAAATAAAGTCGTCTTTATAAAAAGGTTATCATATTAAGGTCAAATAATCTAAGTATAGCATATCAAAACGGAAATTGCTTACACATACCTGAACGATTGATAATAATATCCAATCACAGATGAACCACATAAGAATGTGGATTAAGTAAAATCCTAAGACGTCCCACTTGAACAGGACATTAACAGCCCATGCGGCACCTAACCCTATTACCATACACTCCGAAAGTGGTTCCATGATTACTATTAGAGGTAGCATTGCAACACGTAGTTTTGCCCATCTAAAATATAGGGGGTTAATATCTTAAAATAAATTTGTCTTTAAAATTAACCTTGTAAGACGAGCTTGAAAACTATTGACATCACAAATTCCGGAGTTTTGCAAAGCTGGTTGACTGCAAATCCGCATTTTCCATCCTTTATCTTTTAAGGCCTTGGCCATGAAGAAATCTTCGGCGAGATAGCAACCAAACGTTTTCAAGCCGCCATCTTCATCCAGCACAGATTTACGGATTAACGCAGACATTCCTGTGTGGCAGTTTATGTTTATGAAGTCAGCTGCTAAGTATATGCGTGATTGAGCTGTCCCAAAGTAGATCTACAACACCAATTCATTTTCATTTTTCCATTTTTTGGAACCAAGTAAAACTTACTTTCTCCAACGTTCCAGCGAAACCATCCCGATCACTTGTAAATGGCATTTGATGAACTAAAGCGGTATTTTCGGACATATAACGCATCATATCTTGCAAAGTATCCTCTTTCACTACAAAAAAAAATTTATTAACGATTAGAATTAAACAAAAATTAGGGTATTAATAAAAGCTTAAATAAAAATCTCTTTTGATACCTACTTCTAATCCCGCTGTCTGAGATAAGCACAAACTCATAACTGACGGCATCATAGGCCTTGTTCATATTGTTGATTTTGGGGTTAACTCCCACGGAACCCGCGCCTAGGTATAATTTTGCATCCACTTTTGGATATTTCTCCATCAGGCTGCGTACAAGCATTATTGCTGGATCTGTGTCGTCCTCCAAACAGAAGAGAATCTCATACTTCGGATAGGTCATTGTGAAGAATGTTTCTAAGTTTGAAAATAAATTTGGGTCTACTCCCATTAATGGTTTTATTATTGAAACGCCGGCGTAAGGAGTTTCTGAATCTAGTTGGACTACTTTCTGGTGCAATCTATATTTACTGGAATTAAAAAAAAAAAATTAATATTTGAGGTTAAGTTTAAGGGCGTTAATTTTTTGAGGTTATGTTGTTTAATTTTATATATTTGTAATAATTAAAGGTTTATTAATGCTGAAATTACCCGTAAAAGATAGCAACGAGATGAATTAACCACATGGCGCACCAGTAGATGAAAAAGAAAATTGCGAACCCGTAAAGGGTGTAAAGCATTGGGACCATCCTTAGTTACGTTTTCCAAGTGTATTGTTGTTTGGGTTGTTTTTGATTAGTTTCGAGGCGTTTCGTGAACATTTTCACTTGAACTTAAACCGCACTCGGTCTACGCGAGGCACATTTTATCACTGAGCGAAACATGGAGCTCTGAACATCACTCCATGTCATGCTGGAGTGAGCGCGGATACCCTAAAAACCGGAGATAACCTCTTTATCTTATGTAATGAAAACAAATATTTGACCGCCCTAATACTAAAAAGTATATTATATTGTTATACGATTAATAATTTAACTCGCGAACGACTCCGGTTTCTCTTTCTAAAAATATAACGCATTAAAACCAATTAACGCTCGCGAGTTGTGACTCACGGAATAGAAACGATAATTCAAATCAACCTATTTCAAAAAAACAAATATTGATCAATTACGTTTTCTTTATCAATTTAGCTATCGCTGCGGTTATCTTTTTCTACGAATAAATTAAATTATAGACTTAAAAAATTTGTTGTCAAGTACTATTTAAAGGTCTAATAAACTCATTATAATTTAAGTGCAAAAGCACTCATAATATATAGCCGCATTGTTGGTTGATTAATTTTATTGTTCATAACAAAAGACTTGAAATAAACCATTGACGCACATGAACAACCTTACTCAGATGACAATTATCTTTTCGAGAATTCGCAATCTTATTAGATAACGATTGGAATAATACCGAGATTACTCATGAGTTACTCATTCAACAATACATTTACTTTAAATATTCTAAACATTTCCGGTTTAAAGATAATTATAGCTAACTGTAATTGAACAATCTCATTTTAGGATTTTCATTCATAGATAGCGGCAAAAAATCTAAAATATCCAATTTAGACTCATCACTAGCAATAATTGTGTCAATCTATCACCCCACTCACAAGACATTAAAAGTAAATTTATATAATTTATGAAGAGCAACCTCAATTTTTCCTTGCAAAGCCGTAGTTAAGAAAGATCTACAAGAGATGCAGGCCATCAGGTCCACATTCCATGTTCTGAAGACTTCTAGCATGTTCGTCATGGAAAAGAGACAGTAACGCAGATTGCAACAGCTCAAGGATCTTGCTGAGGAGAGGGAGAAAAATTAAATTTTATAGAAATTGATTTATTGAATAAACAAGTATGATCAGAATTCACAATTCTTTTGGTTCCTTTTAGGAAGTTTCTCATCCAATAATTTTTACACATAAGAATCTGATTTTGAGAACTAATGATCGTTCCAATTTTTTTACCTGAAAATAAAAAAACATAAGGTTACCAAATTCCCTATGCCTCTGTAGTATCGATTATTACCCCGCATATTGACGTCACTGGTTCGATACAGTCAGAGTAAAAGATAGCCTATACTGTGGTACAGTCTATATAAAATATTTAAACCTCGCATCGTGTTGTTCATAGAACCAGCTACGTCACTGACCCACCTTGCCTCTCAGAGGAGGATAATCGGCATTGGGTAACCTGATGTTCTATAGACCTTGCAACACTACTCACACGACATAACCAACCTCATTGCGCAAGATCTCATTTTCTGCCTGAGTTGTATAACTGAGAAGTGGATCAGCAGAGAAATCTGCATACTTGACTTCCTTGGATATGCACTCTTCGTTTGATGGTGTTAAGGAAAAAAGTCTTAGATAAGAAAGGAACTCACCTACAAGTTAGAGATGTGCGCGTTGCTTCTATGAGGTTTTAATTTCAAATACTTTGAATTATAAAGCTTTAGTAGCCCTTAGTATTGTTCGTGATAGAAGAAATAATCTAATAATCGCCCCATGCACAATACTTAGGGCGGCCGACTTCAAAGACGGCAATACTTGGGGCGGCCGACGTCTTCGAAGTCGGCCGAGATTATTCGGCTTCCCCAAGTACTCTTCGTGATATAAGAAATAACCTCGGCCGACTTCGAAGACGTCGGCCGCCCCAAGTGGTACTCTTCGTGATATAAGAAATAAGTTCGGCCGACTTCGAAGACGTCGAGCGCCCCAACTATTTTCGTGACATAAGAAATAATTATGTATAATTTGTGATATAAAAAATAACCTCGGCCGACTTCGAAGACGTCGGCCGCCCTAAGTTCATGATACTTGGGACGGCCGACGTCTTCGAAGTCGGCCGAGATTATTCGGCTTCCCCAAGTACTCTTCGTGATATAAGAAATAAGTTTGGCCGACTTATTCTTATATTACTTCTTATATCATGAATAATACTCACTAAACAGGTGCCCACACATCTCCTCCATATTAAGATTGATAAAAGGCAACTACATTTTTCTTTCATCACAGACGAAATGAAATACCTTTTGTTTATTTGTAAAAACATTCGTTCTGTAAAATGTTATTATTCAAGAAAAATTATAAAATCGGGTCACGCCGGGTCCGGTCGAAATCAAAGTTGCTCACGATCACGCACGCTCTGCTACAAATTATATAGGCCATCAGGTCCATGTTCCAGCGAGTAGAGCGGAAAAAAGATTTTGTGAGAATAAAAATTAAATTTTATAGAAATGGATTTATTGAATAAACAACTATGATCAGAATTTACAATTCTTTTGGTTCCTTTTAGGAAGTTTCTCATATCCAATAATTTTTACACATAAGAATCTGATTCTGAGAAGTATAGATCGTTCCAATTTTTTACCTAAAAATAAATATATAGTTTATATGACACGTCCTGTTTCCATTTTGTATGTTATTTGTATTTTTTTAAATTTTGCAGTTTTATTAACCTACATTTCGAAGGAAACAAAAAAATAATTGGGTTCATCGGTCCCTCAAAACCCACGCGGTCTTACAGAAACTATATTACATCATAAATAACAGTTGAGATTTGAAGAAAAAATCATATATATAAAAAGAAATGTGGATCTAATGTGTATGTACAGCGCGAATATACAAAAATTCCACATTATATTTAGGTAGGCCTAATCACACGTTATAGTACACAGCCAACCTCGCATTAATTAATTAACATAATTTCTACTACAAAAATTACTATAAATTACTTATCGTCATAAAGTAATTAAAAAAAATAAAAAGGGAGAATTAATAAGGAAAAGTTACAAGAGGATAATTAATAAGGAAAAAAATGTGATGTGAGAGTGTTTTTGTAAAAAGTAGATATAAAGGTTGTTAACAATGCTTGTTACGTCTTGAGGAAAAAAAGTGAAGAAAAATGCAACATGTCTCATAATCATACAAAACGAATCCTCTTTTTGGAAATATCCTCGCTTAAACCTTAGACTAATTCTATAACTGTACATCTATCGACATATCACTGCTTAAAACACAATAATTAACGTAAAGTAAAATTACGTAAACCAAAACTACGGTTGTCTCCTATCATATTCTCGTCTATAATCACGTTCTTGACGCCAGTCCCTCATAAAAGGATCACCAGGAGCGGGTTGATACATCGGAGAATAAGCGGGCCCTGGATAATGATTACCGTAGAGTTGTTGTTGTCGTGGATTTAATTGTGGTGGCATCACATCACGATTTATTCTTGGATAATTTCTCCAATCATCTTTACCGCTTGGTGAACTAAAAAAATGAAATAATTTATCATTATGTTGATAAAAAAAAAATTTATTTATTTTCTTACCGTTTATCCGGTCTATTATGATCTCTCTCCCTATGATATCCAGGTCCACGTTGATAATCACTAAATCGATCACGTTTATGATCCGGAGGAAATCGATCTCTCGATTGTCCAACTCCACCACCCCATCGATCGTGATCGGGAGGAAGTTGATCATGTCGGAAATCTCTCGGAGGTAGAGTCGGCTTCCTACTTTGTCGATTCGTTTGATTATATCTCCAATTATGATCATCTTCGGCGTTACCATCCTCTCTTGGCTTTTTCTGCCGTTCTTTTTCACCGTTCCTATCTTTTTTCTCGTATCTGCAACAAAAATTCTTATTAAAAAAAAGAAAAACAAAATTTTTTTTTATATTACTTTTCTGAATGTATTTTTTTATGATCCTTTTCGGCATCTTTATCTTGTTCCTCGTGTTTCCGTTTACTACTACCACTATTGTGTTCTTTTTCATCATTTTTATGTCCATCTTTTTTACTCGAAGTCGATTGTTCGAGGTCCCTTTTCTTTTCAGATTTATCCGTCGATTTCTTACACGACCTTTTATACAATTTGTATAATTTTTTCGCATCAAATTCGGTAAATTTTGATACAAAATACCACAAGTTACTCCTCCACTCTTTGATTTTTAATGGATCGGAATATTGGTTTAAACACGTGTTGATCTGTTCACCAATTTGTAGGAGGCATAGTCGCGTATGATTTACCTGCTCGGTTTCAGGTAAAGATTGGTCCGGGTTATCGAGGGCTTTCAAAGCTTTTTTAACGGGTCGCATTTTTTCTTTGCACTCGTTAAATGTAGATGGGTCAAGCCCGCCTAACATATCAAGAGCTCTCGGTTCGTTATTTGCTGTGAAATGCATTGGACCAGCGTTTTTCTTCTCTTTCTTTTGCTTTTTCTTTTCAGATTTTTTGTCTTTAGTTATAGGGATGTCATAATCATCGTCTTTTTTCGATTTTAATGATTTTTTTGGGGTGAGATTTGCCGGGGTGGATGCGGTTGTTGTGACGGTGTTTGATGTGCTTTCATCGTTCGATGTATCGTCTTGCTCGATTATCTCTTTTGTGAGGGCTTTATCTTTGGCTTTTCTTTGTCGTTTCGGTTTAGTAATCCCTTTTTTCTGTTCTAGTTGTTTTTTCATTATTTTTAGGAGGTATTCCGCTCGGGATTGTAAATGCTTCGCTTGCGGCTTTTTCTCTTCATTTAATAATATTTTATCGCCTATGCCTAGTGAAGGGTCCATTTTGATTTGTTCCCATGATCCCATGCCGTATTGATAAATTCCCACTAATAGTTTGGAATCTTCCCCACTATTCCAATCGACGTCGAAATGCGCCGGTTTTGTCCGCGTTTCAAACACCCATTTAAATTTGTCTTCTGTGGAGTTGGGTAAAACTTCGTCTAAAGGTTGGAGTTCTTCTTCGCAAGCCATCATTGTTTTGGCGTTTACGGAAACACCCCCTAATTTAAATGAAGGCCCCCGCACTCGTTTTTTACCCTCGGCTGTTTCATTGTTTTCTTTCGTGTGTTCGCCCATGTAAGCTCGACACCTGTCGTGTAATAATTCGCCTAATTTCTTTAATTCGGCTAAAGGTTTTTCTTGTAATTCCGCATCGCAAGCGACCGCTTCTAACCTTTTCAAAGGCGCACTAAACTTTTTATAGCTTTTAACAAATCTGCGAATTTCGGCGTCTGTAAAGTTTTTAATTCGTTCGCGGTTTGCTAATGGTGGTCTTCCGCGTTTTCTGGGTCGCTCTTCGTCGCTATCATCGCCTTCACCAGCACTAGACCCGGATTCTTCTTGTTTTCTTTTGCGCCTACCTCCGGCTTCGTCCGCATCACTTTCCGATTGATTTATTTGTTGGAGTGTTTTGCGCGAACGAGGTGGTAAATATAAATCTTCCATTTCTTTGCTTCGTTCTTCCTCCTCAACCTTTTTCCGTAACCTTTCAGGAATGATTTCGTCCCAATCTTTGCTTTCTTCGTCCGCTCCGTTCGGTACTGGAGATGGTTCGGTGTCTTCATCGAAAGCCGCAAAATTAGCAACTTTAAACGCTGATAGGAGCTCATCTCCAACCAAGGCTGGGGCTTCATCTTGAGTTTCAGCTCTCTGAAGGATTTCGTCGATGTCACAATTTGGTTCTTCGTCTTTATCATCTTCATCTTTAAATAATTCTTCCGCCCCGAATTTTAAGATTGCTGTTAAATCCTCTTTGTTGAAGGGATTTGAGTTGGAATTACCTTTTTTGTCTAAGACTGTTCTTCCGGTTGTGTCCATTCTTTGAATAACTAGGTGATCTAAAACCATTTTTTGTTTGGCCCTTTCAACGATTTCTTCTTCAACGGATCTTGCCGTAACTAATCTGTAAATGTTGACTTGATTCTTTTGGCCAATTCGGTGGGCTCTTGCTTGAGCTTGGAGGTCATTCTGGGGATTCCAATCGGAATCGAATATAATCACAGTATCAGCGGTGGCTAAGTTTATTCCTAAACCTCCCGCGCGCGTTGAAAGTAAGAAACAGAAATCCGTGGAACCATCGGCATTGAAATGATCTAACGCTTGCCGTCGAAGTTCCCCTTTGATACTCCCATCTAATCGTTGAAAAGGAAAGTGGCGCAATTGAAGGTATTCTCCTAAAATATCCAACATTCGGACCATTTGGGAGAAGATTAAAACTCGATGGCCGGTTTCTCGAAGACGCAGGAGGAGTTTATCTAATAAAACTAATTTTCCAGAACCGCGAAGTAATTGTTGAATGTGATCGTATTGATTGGTGAGAATATCATCGATAGGTTTTGTTAATAAAGCATGGTTACAACATTTTTTTAGTTCAATTACAATATTTAAAAATGTGTTCGTTGACCCTTTCACGCCTTTACGCAACGCATTATAATTTTTTGTTAATATCCATTTATAATATTGTTTTTGAATTGATGTCATTTCAACGCGTAGAATTTGTTCGACTTTAGCGGGGAGTGATTTTTCAACGTCCTTTTTTACTCTCCTCAAGATAAACGGCTCTAATTGTTTGTGCAATTTTTGATAACCTTTTTCGGCTGCTTTTTCGTGATCCTTCTCAAAATCTTCCCAACAATTGAACTTTTCGGGCATAATAAAATGTAACAACGCCCAGAGTTCTTTTAAACTATTCTGGAGCGGGGTTCCGGTAATTAATAGCCGATGATTCGTATCGAATTCCATTAATGCTTTGTACAAAAGTGAATCATCATTTTTTAAACGGTGAGCTTCATCCACCAAAATCACAGCCCAACTAATGCTACCCAAAAAGGCTTTGTCTTTTAAGACAATTTCATACGTAGTCAAAATAGCGTTAAACTTCAGTCTTTTCGAGCCGGCATAACACCATTCGTATGACCGGATAGTGTCTCGCGAGTTTACATCACCTAAGTACGTTACAAAGTTCATTTCTGGTGCCCATTGCGAAAATTCTCTTTGCCAAGATGTCATAGTTGATAGAGGAACCACGCATAAGAAAGGACCATAAAGTTGTTGAGAATTAAATAGATAGTAAAGGAAGCATATGGTTTGGATAGTTTTTCCTAACCCCATTTCATCCGCTAAAATCACACTGTTTTCTTTCATCCAAGCATGAATCATCCAATTTAAACCATCCATTTGGTAGTCTCGTAACACTAAATTTTTCTCTTTACCCATCATATAAGTAGGTTGAGATTTAATCTCGTGAAACTTAGGACGTTGTCGTAAAGCTTTGCAATGTTTTGATGGTGTATGTTTGGAGTCCTCGCGATCACAGAATTCGGTGATTTTGTTTGGCCATTTTTTCTGGATAAGGGTGGAGTCTTCCCACGTTGATTCCGCATATGGTAAACTTTCCCATTTCACAAAATAATCAACTCCGGTTTCGTTGGATCTTGTTGCTTTTGCAATGACTCTTTCAACGTTGTTATAACTTTTTAAAAGTTCTTGTGATAATTCTAATTGGCATTCGTAATATTCTATATCTTCGGGGGTTGCGTACCTCCTCCATTGCCTTAATTCGACTTCTTTCTTAATATAATTTTCTAATTTTTTTAAACCTTTCACTTTTTGTTCCCTTAACGAATTCTCAGACTCCCAGGTGTTGTGTATGTGAGCCCAATCTTTCCATTTAATTAAATACTGATCTTCTAAGTTATCATCATCCAATAAATCCGCACCGTCGTTTGGATCTCCGTTCTCTTCAACATAATAACAGGTGGTTATGTTACCAGTAACTCCTTTTTTTCCTTTGCGTTGGCCTAAAATTTTTTCTATCGTTTCACTTTTATCTTCAGCTACAGGCTCAACCTGCTCCGCTGCGTCCACCTCCAACAAATCTTCCGAATCCGTTTTATCATCCTCACTAGCTTCTTTATAACTAACGGAAGTAGTCGCGGTCCTTCTCGAAACCGCCCTCCGATTATCCCCATCCGATTCGACACTCGAATCATCAGATGAATAATGAGCGGCCTTTTTCACCGGTTTTCTTTTAGGGGGAGGCGCTCTTTTCGAACCCAATCTTTTACTCGGAGGGGGACGTTCTTGTTGCTCTTCATCGGACTCCAGGTAACTATCATCGTTGTATTTCCATTCGTCACTTTTACGCTTTGATTTTTCACCCTCCGAACTTGACGTTCGCGATTTTTTTGATCTCCCCGATCTTCGAATTTGTTGGTTATCATCATCGTCGTCGTCGTCATCGGAGTCTTCGTCTTTGGCGGATTGATATTTTTCAGGGGATGTTGAGCCGTGACTACTTGAACGATTTGATGGGGTTGGGGAAGGTGCTTTATTTGAGTCACTATCCGAACCACTACTTGATGAACCAGAATCACTGCGAAAAAATAAAATTAAAAATTTAATAATAAAAAAATCTTTAATCGAGGTTTTATTATTTAATTTTTATTACTTATTTTGATTCTTCATCCAAAAATATATCGATTTTAATCAGGGCTTTTCTTAGAAATCGATAAAACTAGAAAGTTAAAACTTGATACAATTTCTCCCCAGAATGGTGAATCCAAAAAGTTCAAGCTTTGTATAATTCCATGGATTAAAAAATTGACGGACTTGCTTTTATAACAACAACCTAAGTTTTATTTTTGCCTCAAACAGTTTTTAATTGACTTGATAAATAACAAAGAGAATATGAGGGCCATAAAACACATTAAAATCATCTTTGGGCAAAAGGAAGCTTTGCCACTATGTGATACGGATTAATATTCGATAACTATTGATGCAAACACTTAGAATTTGTGCTTTCAGTTGCAAGAGGTAATCAAGAAATGGTATATTAATTTTTTTAGCTAATGAAGAATCAAACGAATGAGCTTTGTCTACAACTTGTTAAATATCCTGTTTGTTAATGATCTCCCCTCGCCAAGAGCGTTGTCGGCTGAGCTAAAATCTACCAAAAAAATTTCTTGAACCATTTTTTTGCCACCATAACAGCTGATCAACCTCCGATTAAAATTTGATTCCTCACAAAGGTAGATGATGGATTACAAGAATTACCTAATTGGATTTAATTTAGCCCAAGCTTAATCAATATGAGTTTTATAAAATATAAATTATTATCGACGCTTCATTCCAGGAATTTAAACGTCTCCACCAACATGCGTTATTAAAATTTCTTCGTCGACTTTATTCCCCAAAGTTTCAAATCTGATTTATTAATAATATAACTAATTAATGGTGTAACATTAATAATTAACCTTAAGATAATGATATATAGTAAATTCCTGCTGATTGATGGCAGTTAATGGAAGATCATTTGAATCATTTGTTTTAGCTATTCAACGAATAGTCATCCATGCATTCCATTTATGGTACTCAACTGGAATATTATAATTTTTAAAAGCTCTGGAATTTTTAGCTTTGGGAATATCCATCATTTTGAGTTTATTATGAGTACTTATGGCACAATAATGGAAATTTTTCGCTAAAGTTTCTTTAACGTGTACTAATTCATGACCTTCAATTTCAAATTTTGTTAAAAAAATTAATTCAATCGGCCAAATAATTTTAATAAGAAACGAATTTTTCGAACTATTTAATTTCAAAATTTTTTATCAATAAATTCTTTTCGAAGTATAGTTTACAATTGAAATGATATCAAAATTCGGATTGGCAAAAAAAAAATGTAATTAGCCAAAATTGTATTAGAAATAATAATTGTATCAGAAATCAAATTTCTCACGAATTACTCACGAGAAAAAATGAAGTTTAGATAAGGAATAGTTACTTCATATCAACATACCTTAAGGTGAATAAAGAATTTGATTAGTAAATATTCACGGGCTAAATACAATTTGTTCCGTGAAATAATTTTTTTTTTGGAAAATATTACTTACCTATCAGAACCAGAATTGTTGCTAGAGGAATCGCTTTTGCTGTCTGAACCCGTGTTCTCCGAATCGGACATTTCCTCAGTCTACACAATAAATATCGTTATACTTACTTATTTTTTGATGAAAAACCCCTTTTCTAAATCGTTCCAAATATACGGACAATTTTAATAAATAACAACAAAATCATGTTTGATAAACACATTTATTGTACATATTTAAAATAATTTATTCATTACAAACGATTTTAATTTAATACTTTAATTAAACAAAAAATAAGGAACCCCAAATTTAAAAAAATCTTCAAATAATTTAGTTGATTATTTTTGGGCTAGTTGGGTTGATAAATTTAATAAAAATAAACATCAACATTTTACATTTTCTTTATAACATATATATTAATATGTTGAGTTTATATTTTTTTGAAATCTCCAAGTAATTTTTAATTTTATTCATCAAGTTCATTCAGAAAATGAACGATTTTCGATGATAAATCTTGATCAAAAATGATTTAATAAACAATAAATATGGGGAGATGGGTAACAAGTGGTGGTTTGTCAATGATTTTTTGGGGGTTAAGTTGACAAAATCTATTTGAAATAATAGAATAAACGTGTGAAAAGGTTTGTAGGGGCTAAAACAAAGATAAAGTGACTTTTTCCCGCCAGTTATTTAACAGGAATGTTGTAGGTACCATATAGGTTGAAAAGTAAGATTACCAAAGCTAAACTTTAAGTGAAAATTGCTAAAAAGGGTCCATCTCAAAAATTGAAAATATATGGCTTAAAATGTTCGTAGGACCATGTAGAATCCGTAGAAAGAAAAAAATGGTTGGAACACACCTCGGAAGGGGGTGAAATTGTATAAAAACCATTTGTAAACAATAATAATCAAAGAAATCGCGAATAATATGTTACTATAAAAGTGGCCACGCCCTTGGGTTCACATTGACAAGATAATGATTAGGAACGATGGAAAATATAGAAAAGAGGTTTTTACGCAAAATAAACCCGGTAATAAATAAATAAAAGGGTAGTTCTTACCTCTGGCATTATCACGTAAAATTTTCGCACGAATCCTATCGAATATTAACGCGGACCGATTACATAATAGATTACCGATAATCTTAAATTACTTAAAAATCTGTTCATAATAAAATTAACCCTTAATTCGATTGTTTAGTATACAAAACAAAAACTTTTCTCAACTCGTAACCAACACTCTTTTAGGTACTCACGCCATTTTGAGAAAGTTCATTCAACTATTACGGCAAATTTCAACGAAAATCACTCGATTTTAAAACGAAATTGTATTATTTACCGCTAAACACGTTATATCAAAATATTTTTAGGTTATACGAACAGTTTATGCGCACATTCGTACGTCTACTACTGCCAGTACAATGTCATAGCTACCGCAACGTATGCCATTTTGATTTCTACAGCGTAAGCCAAATCACACACAACCGAGGTTAGATGGCGCTGCCCGTTTGGTGACGTCACGTCCATGCGATAAACGACCTTACGTACTACGTCTGTAAGGTCGAAAATGTTCGTCCGTATTCTAACTGCGGGAGAAAATACAACTCCAATCGAAATCGTTGAAAATAACCGTATCCGTTTCCGTAATGCATTAAATAACGCCAAATTTTTAAATAAAATACATTCGCGATTTAATACGCATTTTACTAAACCCCCACGACCCTAAGGCTCCTACATTATGAGCCATCTTTATCCGGCCTTGCACCAATTCCGCAAAATAACGATTTTTAAAGGAAATACGTCGTATCTACGGCGGGAAATTCAAAATTTATACTCTACAGACTTAGTTTTACAGACACACCCAGAAATAAATCGAGAATATTCCTTTATATTCAACATATGCAACGTTCTCTTCCAACAATCAACTTCACATTTTTGCCCATTTTTTCTTAAATTATCCCATTTTTTATGTATTTTTCATATATTTACTTCATATATTTTACTTTCAATATCAAATTTTAGTTTAACACCGCCATAATATCTCCAAAATTCAAAAAGAATTCATTCTCATTCATAAATTTCTTTAATTATATCAAGATTTTTGTGGCATTTTCAATAATAAAACGAAATCTTTGACAATTCAACAATATTCTTGTGATTTTCTTCTACTTGTTTCTGTAAAATTTATATATATAAGGATGCAAATACGACGATAATTTTGATAACAAAAAAATGTCCATGTAATTAAAATTTTTCGTTATATTTAACGGAAATGTGCAATGCATAAAATATTCAACGTATTTCTTTTAATAAATAGCGGCTTATTCACCTTAAACATGATTTAACATAATAAGATTGCTGTTTAAACATTCAACCGGTTTCTATAATTTTGTAGCCATCCTCAGGAATCGAATAACAACATTTTCGAACTTTAATTATTATTCCAAAATTCCTCTCAAATTGGTTGGTGACTTTCCATCTTGCATTCTCATCTAATACATAAAATCCATCTTCGATTAATCAAGTCTCCTAATATTGTACATAAAAAATATAGATTTCTATTCTATACCAGCATTCATCAACACCCTGAATAAATAAATAATCAAAAAATTATCCCTTAATATATAAAGTAATAATAAATTGGACGTTAAAAATTATTATTAAATACGGATTAATTTAAATAATAATTTTGTTGGATTCCTCCTGAAGATGGCACAAAATGAGTGCTGAAACCGGTGGAGATTATATCATCAAAATATATAAAAAAAATTATAAGGATAAATATGTCAAATTTGGTTCGAGAATTCTATAGTCACGAACAATTCCGAACTTTTCTGGGCTTACTTACAACATGTAATATCTAAGCGCGGAAAGATTCAGAACTGTTCAAAACTACAAAAAAGTCTCGAGTTTATAAATCTTACTATAACTAATTCATCGAAAACAGATCATATTCCCAGGTTATAGATCCCCGCAAAGCCAAATATGACGAACACACCACCATAGCGTATTACGGAAGAGCTTATGTTTACAATAACAGTAATGGACACCCCATATAGTAAACAAACTCAAACCAGCAGGTATCCCAAAGATACCGAATTAATTTGATATCAAAAAATAAATTTTTGTTTAAACACATGTGGTTCTGTAAGCCTAAATATTATAATACCGTTGTGCAACACCGTTGATTACTTCTAATAAATTTTGAAGAAAAATAAAGATAAAATTCAAAGGAACCATAAAAGTGAAGATGAAGAAAATATTAAAAAAGAAAAATCGTCCAGGATTGGGTCTAAAAATCCATGCTGATGGAGATTAATGAAAAAATATTCCAAAGATAGTCGAGAAACCCATCAGGTTTTCTTGGACAACGGCCCGAAAAACTAATCAAGAAAAATGGAATAGAGTCTTGGAAAATTTTTTGATAATGACAAGACAAAAACTTATAATTTCAATATTAAGTTAATTCACGACTAAAATTAACTTTTAATTTTGAATGTCCAGCTACTTAAATTTCAAATAAGCTATGAGTCATTATTATTCATATGATAGTTGTTGAGCAAAAACGCTTGGAAATCTGATAACGAACGCCACTGTCCACGCATCAAATTCGAGTTATACCAAGAAAATGATATAAAGTTGTCGAATTCACTCAAAATCTGCATTAAATCTTTCATACTTTGTACTTATTTGCAGAATACTTTGAAAATAACAAGAAATTTGTGCGGTTCTGTAAATCCCAAGAAAGAGAATTTCATTCGATTGTGCTTGGCATTACTTGGGTATATGATCTTTTTGGGTATATTAAACCCTTCCTAGCAACATCTCCGTATTATTACCGCTTAAATCAACACTTTCAAATTCTATTTAGCTTATAACTATCCATCCTCAAAGAATTTCATTCTTAACTTTGTAATTAGTTGCGAGTTATAATTACCATTTACCTAAACTTATTAAAAACCTAATTCGTAAGCGACTACCCTTCATCACTTATTTCTTATTAATTATATAAAAACCTCTTTCCTATAATAATGATTAAAAATAAAAACTCTTAATTTTAATTCTGTACAAAAATATATAATTTATTTAATTTAACGTGATCGATATATACACAAAAAAAACAGTAAAATCTTCAACATACTCTCTGATATCGTATTATGATAAAAATAACAAAGAAAATTTGTTCGACTTCGATACGAAATTAAAAAAATAATTAAAGCTAATAAATTTTATCGGCAAAAACAAAGGCTTTTCTACTAGAAAAAAATATGTAATCCGTTACATTGTATTTGTTTAAATTTCATTTCAACGGCATTTTTCGAGGAACAGGCGTTCTTAAAACTAGGGCACTTTCCGCTGATATTATCGGCAAAGCGTTCTGACAATGATATATAATCAAATGACTAACACTGTTGAATATTCTGTCTTTGGTTCGTACCTAATATAGAAAAAGAAACTACTCGAAAAATATGTCTTTTTGTATGTATTTTGGTTATTAACGTCGCGAGTAAACTAAAGAATAAAACACTTACCACGCCTTCTGGATCGATCAACAACAAATGACGCTTTGTGTTGTCTTGCATTCCGGATAAAACGTATTGATTTGATGAATTGGGCGACTCCCGTACCAAAAAATCGCCATCGTTAATCAGCAAACCTTCCGCTTCACGTCGCGTTATTTGGCCATGGAACCAAACCTCTTTCTTCAACTCCTCTAATTGTTCATCCATCTGTCTACAAGGCACTGGCGGTGGATTTTGATTCGTAAACGGCTCTGGAACCAATACATAAAATAAATTACACAATAAAATTCAAACAAAAAATTTTTTTTTAATACTCACGCATATCAAAAACATCTCTTTCTCGTACAATAGTGTTGATATCGTTGACATATTCATGATGATTTTCGAGCGACATAACGTACGAATTAAGATCGATAAGATTCGGTGTTTGTGGCGTTTGAGGCGCTTGAACAAGGGGTAACGTTGTAAATGATGGGACTACGGTCGGTAAAGGCGGAACTGGAGGTGGCCGTTCTAAAGGCATTGCAACGTCCGGAGGAACCTTCCCAGGAAGATCGTTGTAGTAATCTTTATCTGCATCTCCACCACTCAACATTTTCACTCTGAAAGTTACAAAAAATATAAAATTATATAAAATATTCAGACCTAGAGTGTAGGTTATTTAGAGATAAAAAGAAGATTTTTTTCTTATATAAATTGATGTAACTGGTTGAACCCCAACCACGTTAAATAATAAACGCGTTTTTGTTAAAACTGTATTTTTCAAAATGGCGACCACGATATCTTTTTCTCGAACGAATTCTTTTTAAATTTGAACGACTTTTTCAATAGTCGCGTTGCAAATTAGGATAATTCTGATTTATCGAACTCAAGGAAAGACTACAAAAAAGACGAGATTAAAAACTTGCCTTTAATATTAAATACGAAAATAATTAGTTATGACCAATGATATTCAAGACACAACAATTAGCTCAATAATTGTTGATGGAAAGCTTCAATTAATTATTGAACCCCGCTAATTTTATATTAAAAACACCACACATATTTAAAACTGTATGAATTCGTAGAAAACTAATTATTAGCTGTATAGGAAATTTGTTAAATATCGTATGTAGGGTTAAAAATAAGCAGATAGAACCTGTACACAGATTCCAGCATCATGGTTGCTGGATAACAGACGATCTTGAGCTTATATAGAATATGCCAGATCCGCTTTACAAATGAAAAAACTCCGAGCAAATTCAGTATTGTTATACAGAGTGGAAACATGGTCTCTTGGAATTAATATAGCACGTCACCAATGATGAGGTGCAAAGAAGGAAAATGGAAACTGACAGATAACTTTTAAATAAGTTAAAAACTCGGAAAAGAACTTATCTAGGGCATATTTATTGACATAGGCGCCGAATACGTGGTTGCCCTGGGTATTAATGGTTTTATTTTGATCGAAGTTGCCCTTTAATTGTTTTTAAATAATTTTGTTGGCAACAATGTAATATTGGTAACGTCAACGCTGGCTAGGGGAGTCCCAGTTAGTTTGTTAAACGCAAGGTCCGTAAAGCGCATTGTACCAGGTTGGTCAGAGATAGCAGAACGCGTTTTATAGGGAAAGGAGGGGGGTGACGTCACGAGTTACGAAGCAGTGGGAGATAGAGACTGAAACGAAGTAATTTATCATGAAAATTTATTATGAAAATTGTGTATTTTTCTTTTTTTATTATTTAATTGCACAATTTATATACTTTAATAGAATATAGTCTGTAATACGTGACGTCATGATTAGAGTATGTCAGGGGTGTTACTTTTTATACGTTGATATCCTTCGTCTTGCCAACCTTGTACAATACACTTTACTGACCTTGGTTAAACTTTAAGGGATTTAAAGAATATATTTCTTCTCACAGATTAAATAACTGTCTTTATACTGAATAATAACTTAATTATAGAATAAAGTCTTGCAAGTGTTGAAGCGTATTATATTATTTTGTTCACAATTTTGTTAAGGTAAGAATATTATTATCATTACTTCATTAGGTGGTATGATATTTTTTTTCTTTCCCACTATGATTTAAAAATAGAGGGTGAAACTAAACCACCACGAAACTACTTGCTTCATAAAAAACAGAAAGTAGATAACCTTTTTGGTCATAAAATTAATTTTAAATCTAACATAAAAATACAACTTCCTACAACTCATAATGAAAGGGAAGGTTAAAGAGGAAAAAGAAGCCCAGAGAGGAGAAAATGATGCTCATGGTTGAACAATATAAGGGACTGGACAGGCATTATTAAGAACAGCACAAAACAGAGAGCATTTTATCGAAATTATCGCTAATCTTCAGTAATGAAGAAGGCACTTTAAGAGGGAGTATGTAGAAAATTTAAGGAAAAAGCTAGTCAGGTTTTATAATTAATTTATTCTCTCCAATGGCTCTACAGCCCAAATTGAGCCTTGGCCTCCTCAACAAACCGCCGTGTGGAGCGCATCTTTTCGCGCAGATAAACTTTGCCATTATGTAAGAGTCATCATGTATGTAAACACGCTTGCCTACATAAGGTTTGTTCCAACTGCACTTTTGACTGCCAATTGACGTCACGACGGCCGTCACGCAGTTGACATTCCAATCGAACTGATCCGCGACGTTCTGTCACGCGTTCCAACGACTGTCCGACGCATTCAGTCAAATTTGTACCTGGTCTCGACCCAAGGTTTATATATTAAAGGTTGTCTAAGTTCCTATGCTGCAATACTTTGATTTTAGTTTGTGGGCGAGGGGCAAGAGCAGGAGTGTTTCGTGACGTAAGCGATCACGGATTGCGCACGCAACCTCATGACCAGGTGGTGCTCCATGCATTTGTTTAATTTGAATTGCTTGGCGGTATTATTTTCCACATGTGACGTAATGCGCAGTATGGTTGTGTATGAACCTAGACAACCTTTTATATATAAACCTTGGTCTCAACGAAGTACGGTTAGTCACGTCCTTTAACGCTTGCGCATAATCAGCATAACTCATTTCCAATTGTGCAGCCTGTCTGCTGGTATCTGTTATGGTTATGTTTACTATGAAAGCGTATATTTGGATTATTTTCTATTCTTTTACATGTTTCGGGTATTTTGTTTAACAAATTTTTAAGGATTTTTATTTCATATGTATGTTTTATGATAAGTTTCATAAACAAATTAATCAAAAAAATTGTAAAAACGGCTTTTTTACATTTCTAATTATTGCTACTTCAGTTCATTATTGCTAAAAAAATGAGAAAATGGATTTCGTTTGAAATGGTAAATTGTGTTTGAAGCGTCAATAGGGCCGTTAAAGTCAATCGATTAGAAAGACAGTCTTTCAAAAAATCGATAATCTAAATTAAATTAGACGGATTAGTAACGTTTTCACGTTCGAAAATTGTTTAATTTTTCCAATAATGAATGTAAAAGTTTAAAATTCCCCACCTCCGACTCCAGATGACGTTTTAAGTAAGAAGGAAGAAAGAATTACGCTCGCTCCCGTTTTCTTCTAGCGCATAAGATTTGTAGCATTGTCTCTCTCCAGGAATTTTATTCATTTTTATACACTCCAATCGTATGCTCAAATCTGAGTGACGTACTTTAAAGTTCGAGCCCTGTAGTTTCAAACTTTATTATTTTATTTATTTTTTTTTTTTGGAAAAACAGCCTTAGAATTAAAAATTAAAAAATATAGGGTCAATCAATTTTAAAAAACTTTCGAATAAGCCAATTGTAGCGTACACAGCCTACCTTCACATAGAAATTATAACTTTTATCAAATTACCTTATTTTCATAAATTAGCTATGTTACCATTTTTGTTGATTTTGATGTAAATTCATTCGATTATAAGCAATCAACCAAACAACACGTCTGTCTGCGTTTTGATTTTTAAAAGGAGTAAATTATATAAACCACAACTCTTTACCAATAAAAAAAAATAGCGTTGACGAATTGTACGCGTTTACGAACGCATGCGCAAAAGAAAGTCGTAAATTAGTACGCGTACATGAACGAGTCAAATTTGTCTCTTGCAATTAATGGTATGAGCACATCACCAATGATGAGGTGCTAAGAAAGATGGAAACTGACAGAGAACCCTTAAATATGATAAAAACTCTTAAAATGGTATAGAGACAGGCATGGACACCCATTCATTATTAAGAACAGCACAAAACAGAGAGCATTTTATCGAAATTATCATTTTCGAAAAATTATTATCGATTATCGAAAAAGCTGATCGTTTTATAATTAATTTAGTCTCTCCAAAGGTTCTACAGCTAACCATGTGTAACGCAGCAAAATTTGCTGCGCTGACACACTGATACTGGCGCACCTAAGTGAGTTAGCGCAATGTATCAACTCAATTGCGTCATAATAACATTTCTGATGCATCATATCTATCGCTCGCCGGTCAGTTGCCTTTTTCGCATTAAAGTATGATTCATTAGTTCGTGTATTAACTTTCAGCAAATTCAGGTTTTATACGTAATTAAGGGATGGTATTTTCACCTACATATCTGTAAATCCTCAATAGCTATTTAACAGATCTGTCAGGTTTTAGCCCTGTTAACTTTCGCAAAATGAGAATATGTTATGGTGGCGGCGTATAACGTCTATACATATAAGGAGTACATGACGCGTTTTGTACAATGTCATATACATATTGAGGACTTTATAGATAGTTAAAAATACCAGCCCTAAATCTTATGCCGCCTGCGCCATAGCGGTTAACTGTTTTGGGTCTATGAGGATGTTGCGTCTATCCCTAGTAAGCCACAACAGCGTGCGCAACTACGCCAATGGTGGCGTAATTGAGTTGACTCATTTTAAAGTTATTTATCTTTATCTACAGCCCAAATTGAGTCTTGGCCTCCTCACGAAATATACAACATGTGGCCATATATCACATGATTCATCTCCTTCTAGGAGGAAGGGAGAGCAACTAGCGCATCTTCTCGCGCAGATTAATTTTACAATTTTGTAAGAGCCATCAAAGGTTGTCACTATGTATGTAAACACGAATGGTGCTGATGGACTTACACTAATAATCTAAGTGAAGTCAACAGTACATAAGATAAATGGCTTAATACTAGGCTAAGACATCCCCATAAGTAATTAATTGAGTGTTGTGTTAATGACAAAAAATAAAATGCTTGATAAAAGTCTAATTAGGGTTTGAATGAACTTTTATTCTTATACATTAAAAAGTTTCTGAGGTATCAGGGTGTAGATTTAGACCTAAATATTAAACATTAAACTTACTCTACTCCAACTGGTTTGCAATATTGTTGATATCTTAATTCAAACGCCTGTCCTATTGTTGAAATGACATCTTTTGCGTGACCCCCGCCGCATTCCAACACATAACACGCTCTCCATTCAGATGCGTCTTTCGCGATGTAAGCAACAAAATCCATTGTATCCTAAATTTTACATAAAATAAATACTTGAAGTATACAAAAACGCAATATAAGAATAAAATGATGCAAATGTAGTGATTAATTAAATTTTATTACCGTATCTCCGCCCGAAGCAAACGATATTCTAGGCATATCATGACTAGCAATGATGTCGTTGGATTCTAAAGAAGTCAAAGTGAGTTTGGCGCTGGATATGTTTAAGCTGACATCGCAACCAGCATGGTCCATATTGGGCTCTTCTGCAATCGCACGAAGCACATTTTTATCGATCTTTCTTTTTTTATCAGCAGTTGTTAAGCCGGCTGCTTCTGATACTTTGCTAATACACACCCTAAAGATAAATTATATATATTAATAAGGAAATATGTATTATAGAAATTAAAATTTCTTACTTTGCAACATTTGATCTTGTTTTGAAGTCCAAGGTTTTCATGGAAGTCTTAACTTCGAGACAACCTATATACTAAAGAAAAAGATTTATTAGAAATTACGTTAAGGAGAGAAATGAAATATTTACCCGTACTGAATATGTGGCTCCTTTGTTGGCAATAAGATTATCGGAGTGGATCCAGCCCCCAGAAGGTTTGCTGATGAATCCGGACATTTTAATGTGATTGCGATTATTGCACGTTAAAATATATGTGATAAAGCAATCACATATTAATGATATATAGTTGATCCGCCCGTTCAGGGTCGTAACATGGAGGACGCATTTTTACCTCAAAAAATGGAACGGAGATCGCTGCTGGCCAACACCCATGCGATTTACGAAGCGAAAATTGGGAGCGCCGCGACGGTTGCCGTTTCGGATAAGTTTCGATCGAGGTTTTCCTTGTGGGGAAAATCGATTTTCTTACCTTTTCCGACCGGACACTGCCCAAAATGCCACCGATTTTTGCAATAATCATTGCATTTTAACCAAGTCACCGACTACATGATGCCATGCGCAATACTCTATAACACGTACCCACGTCATCTTCCCTGCGGGTTTCTTTTTTCTTTTCGCCGTCGAGATATTTTAATTGATGCGACTTCTTAAACCGCTTTTACCTTAATCTTCATCTGTCGGACAAGTTATTTCTAACAAATTTAGCGATTAACACTTGTAAATAACACTTTCTTTGAGGCTTCATAAAACCGATAAAGATGGCGGATAAAAATACAAGTAATGCCATCTATCATCTATAACTGAAGTAACTATTCGTTTACTTATTTCATTCGTTTTAAAGGAAAATATTAATTTTTTTATATTAAGATGTTACTTTTTGATCAAAAAGTTTTTTTTAAATTTTATTATCAAAAAAGAATTTTTATGGAAAAAAAAATTTTTGCAACACGTCCCTTTACTAATGGATGGATTAAAATGAGAATTTAGATTTAAATTTATGTAAATAATACATTAAAGAAGTCGAATTATGGTTATATAATTGTGCGACGATTTGGCAACACTGTCATAGAAGCATCTGGAAAAGTAAATATATTTTAATATTTTTAGAAAACTCTTTGTTTTTGTTATGAACTTAATAAATTACTATCACAATATCTATAAATGTATTTGTTTTTCCGATAATAACACAATAAATAAAGATTTTATCATTTAAGGTCACTTACTTTTACCTGGAGAATGTATCACCAACTTAATGTAACAAAAAGTTACTGTTATTAGTAGTTTTGTATTGTTTTTAATTTGTACCAAGAGATGGCGTTATTATTTATTAAATCATATTATTATAATTTTGTATCTCACTACAAATTTGTTTTCGCAATATTGTTAAAGTAGGTTAAAATTAGTGGTGGAACGGATATCCGGGACTATCCTCTTTTAGGTGTTGGACAGTGCAGATAATAATCAAGTTCAACCCCAATAGGACTTTTTTCATTAAATACAACTTTATTTATATCAGATTTGTCATTAGCAACCTCACAGTAACTTTGAACACTTTCAGTTCTTGAGAAATAAATTTTTGAAATGATCGACAATTTTTTCGAATTTTGTAATTTTCGATTTTTTGGAATATAAGTATAAAAATTTCCCAAAGTGTTAATAAAAGTGTCTTCTTTCCAATGAACCAACCCATTTTGAAAAATACCTTTTAGTTTTTGAGAAAACAATATTTGAAGTTTTGATAACATTTTTGATGTTGCTATTTTCATCTTTCAAAATTCATTTCTTGTAAGATCCTTGTGGAAATATCACCAATTATTAATTAAAATATCCTCTTTTTAATGCAACAAGTCGTTTTGAAAAATCGCCTTTAGTTTTTGAGAAATAAATTTTTGAAATGATCGACAATTTTTCAAATTTTGCAATTTTCGCCGATTAAGTTTTAAAAATTCGTATAAAATTGATTTTTTGGAATATGAGTATCAAAATTTCCCAAAGTGTTAATAAAAGTGTCTTCTTTCCAATGAACCAACCCATTTTGAAAAATACCTTTTAGTTTTTGAGAAAATAATATTTGAAGTTTTGATAAAATTTTCGATGTTGCAATTTTCATCGATTATTTTCTAAATTCGCTATAAAATTCATTTCTTGTAAGATCCTTGTGGAAACATCACCAATTATTAATTAAAATATCCTCTTTTTAATGCAAAAAGGCGTTTTGCAAAATCAGTTTTAGTTCTTGAGAAATAAATTTTTGAAATGATCGACAATTTTTTCGAATTTTACAATTTTCGCCGATTAAGTTTTAAAAATTCGTATAAAATCGATTTTTTGGAATATGAGTATGAAAATTTCCCAAAGTGTTAATAAAACTGTCTTCTTTCCAATGAACCAACCCATTTTGAAAAATACCACATAGTTTTTGAGAAAACAATATATGAAGTTTTGATAACATTTTTGATGTTGCAATTTTCATCGATAATTTTCAAAATTCGCTATAAAATTCATTTCTTGTAAGATGAGTATGAAAATTTCCCAAAGTGTTAATAAAAGTGTCTTCTTTCCAATGAACCAACCCATTTTGAAAAATACTTTTTAGTTTTTAAGAAAATAATATTTGAAGTTTTGATAAAATTTTCGATGTTGCAATTTTCATCGATAACTTTCAAAATTCGCTATAAAATTCATTTCTTGTAAGATCCTTGTGGAAATATCACCAATTATTAATTAAAATATCCTCTTTTTAATGCAACAAGCCGTTTTGAAAAATCGCTTTTAGTTTTTGAGAAATAAATTTTTGAAATGATCGACAATTTTTTCGAATTTTGCAATTTTCGCCGATTAAGTTTTAAAAATTCGTATAAAATCGATTTTTTGGAATATGAGTTATGAGTTAATAAAAGTGTCTTCTTTCCAATGAACCAACCCATTTTGAAAAATACCTTTTAGTTTTTGAGAAAATAATATTTGAAGTTTTGATAAAATTTTCGATGTTGCAATTTTCATCGATTATTTTCTAAATTCGCTATAAAATTCATTTCTTGAAGGATCCTTGTGGAAATATCACCAATTATTAATTAATGTATCCTCTTTTTAGAGTTTAAAAGTTCATTTTGTATCTTGGATCCAAATAAGTTGACATATCTTATCAGCTTTCTTATTAATTTCATTTTTATCAAAATCACTAGTTAAAATCATCACAAAATTGAATTTTGCTGAAATAATCTTAGTTTGATGCTCAAATAATTCTGTGAAAGCCAGAAACAGGCGAAGAGTATCATAACTTAGTCGCAAAAGAAAATCAAAGAAGTTTTATGTATCCTGATAAGCTAAGGGTCAAACTAAGACACAACATTTTCAATAACATTTTGAAATTGAATGTACTGAAAAATAAGGAAGCTAATGTGTTAATAATGGATGAGATGGTTCATTGAAAATCGTCTTGTTTTTATAGTTCATTGTTTGTGTTCACTTTTCGTTCAAGGTCTATCAATGAAAATGAGAAACATGATAATAAAATGCAATTTTCAAATTTATGATGATGACTTCTGGGGTACCGCAAGGCAGTCATTTGGAATCGCGTTTATTTATAATCTACATAGGAGATATAGCTAAATCTTTTCCTAACTCTAAGTATCTCATGTATACTGATGAGTATAGCTGTGAGGTAGCTCCTAATGGGACTTGTTCTGTCGCTACCTCGATGTATAAATAAATTAATTTAAAGTGGAATAATAAATATAACATTTATTACGTTAGTGGTAAACGATAAAAATCCAACAAATGAAATTAGATGAATATTTTAAACAAAAAATTGACGTCAATACTATTTATATTTAGAGAAAGTTTAAAACTCCTCCACAGGTAAATGTTGTTGCGTCATTAAGAAACAAAAATGGTTATATGAACGTGTAATAAATACCGTTTACCCTATGATTTTCGTTGAAATCTGTCGTGATTCAGAAAAAGTTGTGCCAAAAATTGTTGGCAGAGTGTTTTCTGCCAGACAATTAGTGATATGTTAACCAAAATGTTCCTTTTTGGCTATGTATACCAAGTTGGGATTAACGCCAAGTTTTGACTAAAGGTCACCTTAAAGTAGTTTTCCTTTATTGTAATGAATCGTAATGGTACAGGTGGTTTAGATAAACAAACAATAATTTAGATCATATAATGATATATTTTCACAAATAACATAAATGTAACATGTAAAAATAATAATTAAAAAATTGAGATATCTAGTCCTTAAAATATATTTTTAAGTATATCGGGGTATCGTTTCCCTTCTAGAATGCTATACAAACAAGTTTGATATGCGAACATATCAATAATAAAAAGTTTGAATTTAAAATTAAAATGATTAAAAAATGCTATTACGATCGAAAGTGCGATTTGTCATGAATTCGAAGGACAACTTACGTTTAGGTATTGTCGTAAGCGAAGTGTTTGCCAAGTGAAAAACGATAAAAGATATACACGAATCCGTCGATGGTTTAGGAAAAAAGGAATGTTAATATTTTAAAATGAAAACGATCGACATCTTTGGTTTATAAGGAAAAATTAGCAACAACAAAAAAAATAAAATAAAAGTATTTTTAACATCTCCGCGATCGTTTACACTTTAAATATGATTAAGTATAACTTCGAACCATCGACGAAAACGAAAATGGGGATTAGATAATAATACTATTCAGAGAAAAAGCTTCGTAACGCAAAGCGTTGTGGAACTCGATGACAAAGTTTTTTTACTTCTTGATAATAGTGAAGCAGTAGAAAAATAATATGAATGCGTCTTCAAAGTTACACAACCTTTGATTTACGAATCGTAATTAAGACAAATTTTTCTTTTTAACTTTTTCTTTCCGAAACTCAACTTCACTATGTTATAATGTTAGCAATCACACGTCTCTGAGTATACAAACTATAATAATTTCAGCACAGCCTTTTTATGTTAGTCTCTACACTAAAGCAATTTTCTTTTTTTTTTCTTTACACAATCGTTCCTTGCCTATGTCAGATCTATTGGAAATACTGGATCGAATAGTAAATTATCGAAAGTTCTTTGTATCAAAAATGACGTTCGGTTACGATTTGAACTTCATTTTCGATAAAGTGTATTTTCGGTAAAATGCACCGGACCCGAAATACGTTCAGGAACAAATCGTATCAGACCTTATCGATTCTATCACAAACATACCATCAAACAATTTTTTTTAATTTTCTTTTGTTAACTTTTAGCACCGATACTAACTTTATCACTATGAGTTCATATCAAAACGTATTTGAGCGTCGATATGTCTGATACTATTTTCTTTTAATATAAAATAGATGCTTGACGAAAAAACTAACGCAACAATCATTAGTTTAAAAAGGGACACCCTGTAGTTGGATAGATAAAATATCAAATTAACAAATATCGAATTTATAAACGTTGGATTTACAAATTCTTTAAGTAATTAAGTAACTTTGCATGCATCAAGTAGGTGATTTTTTTTTGAAATTACACAAAAACGTCACCTACACATAAATAATCAGTCTAAGCAATTTAAATATTCGTTAACGTAATCGTTAATAAGATTATCGCGGTTATTTTCTTTTTTATTAATTATTTTTAAAATAGAAAAGGGCTCAATCCTCGTCGGAGGCGATTTCGTCCTTTGTTTTTTGCAAAATCAATTGTTGTTGTTGCTGTTGTTGCTCATAAAGTGCGTTTAGCACTTCCGGTGTAGCGTTTGCCCGCAGGAAATTGTTCTCCAGCTCTAATTGTTGGATGCGCTCCGTCAACTCAACGATACGGGAACGCAGGATCTCCACTTCCGCCCTCCACGTGTTCATCAGGTGGTTCTTAACAAGATCCTAAAACAAAAATTACTAAATAAAGCAAAACGTTTTTTTATGATTAAGTCAGATTTATATTTAACAATGAGCAAATACTATAAAAAATTAAGTGGTTCAATAATAATAATTCACACTGAAAATGGAATCCTCAAACAATTACTCATGGTGTCGATTTTAAAATTATGACCGAATAAACGGGATTTACGTAATTCTTAAATATTTAACGACCAAGGTCGATGTTAATTTAAATAATTTGGGTACTAATTTTATTACTTTCTAAAAATTATAATGAAATATTTACAAGATAAAATCATTTTTTTTTATATATTAATGAATAAAATCGGTTTTTAAATAAATCGTTTTAAAATTATCACTGATTGTACAGAAATCCATAAGGAATTCAACCAAAAAGACCGATTTGTAAAATTTTTTTTAAAATTTTAAATTTTTCAAAAAATCGCAAAAAATTGATTTTAAAGATATCGTTATGCAAATTTTTGGGTTTTATGTAGAAAAGTATCAGCTTTTTAATGAAAAAAACCGTTTTTGAAAATATTATTTTGTTCTTGAGATAAATTTTTTTTATATATATGAATAACAATAAAAAATTAAATTCATTTTTTTTTTATCTATGACTATACTTTATGTAATTATGCACATAAAATTATCATGCTGAGACTACGTTTTTATATACTTTAATAATACTTTGATATACCTAAATTAAATGATGTCACAACACCGAGTTTTGTACATAGAAATCGGAGCAAAATGTAGTCAATGTAACTATATACTTTTTTCTGATATCTGTTTTGCGTAGTTTTCGAATGGAAATTTCTCACTACACAATTAATTAACCATAAAACTATTTTGGAAGAATCTGAGTTTTAATCTCACTAAATAATGGCAAAATATTACCAAATCATTACATTTAGGAGATTTGTTAAAAGACTTTTGAAGATGGTGGAACTTAATTAACTCATAGAAATTGAAATAAGCAAGTTCTGGAATGTCAAAAATCATCATCAATTAGGAGACTATTAAGTTGGAGAATTTGGCAAATTTAAAGTCTTAGGTGATTGTGATAACTTAATAAATTAGGTTTGTTCGGGTTGATGACAAAGTTTAAATATTTTGGAAATTGATAAACTTTGTTAGTATTGGTTCTGGACCTATTCCAATAATTTCCAAAACCCAAACACAACAAATTCCCACACAACCAAACTAAATCCTCAATGAAACTCACTATCTTCTTTTTATTGGCGTTATCAGCAAGGACAGAAATTAAATTATTGGATATTAGAGCCAAAAATTACATGGACTTCATTATTTAATACACTTAAGATTAAATATAATAAACATTTTTTGCTAACTTACCATTGCTTGTTCAATTTTGTGATCAATAATTGGACTGGAGCAAGTAGTGACACTATAAATAAAAGAAAAAAAAATAAATAAGAATATAAATCATTTGAATGATTTAATTTTTTGTTGGAATTGATGTCGCGTTGAGTGAAATTATCGAGTTTGGCAAAATATTGAGAAAGCGGTTATTTTCGGAGACCAAATTTCGAAGCCCGGACCTAAATACTTGAACAGTTTAAGGTCGCTGTTTTTCATGTGACCGAAAAGGAAATAGCTTACCTAGTTTTAATAGCAAGAAAATATTTTTTGCGAGAAAAAATAAATAAATGGAGATGATAGCGTCGCGACGTCTTCTTACGTACTAAAAAAAAAATAGCGAACGAACAAACATAAACGAGTCACAGTTTTTTTTTCCACAAGGCCATCTCACTTTCGAACCTTTGGAAACTTTATCGCGACGATTTTGTTTTTCAGGCAAAATTTTCAAACTTGACACCAATAAAATGAAGTTTTTTTAAGCGAACTTAAAATTAATTAAAACTTACTTAAGATATTTAATTATGATCTTTCTAAGAACTTCAGGTTGCATGAGTTGAGTGTAACTTTGATGAATTTGTTCGAGAAGTACGCTTGACATCTTGATTGATGCAAAAAAATTTAACGAACAAAAATAATTTAAAAAAATTATTGAATCGCAAGTTTGTAACTTTGAAAAACAGTCAGAACTTGTGTTGTAGAGGTTTTATAATCGATCGTACATTGGCTAAAACCACGACAGAACTGGCAAAACCGCCCGGTGGACGCGTTATATTGCTGGTTTTAGCTGAAACGTACTACGCATGAGCTGTTGCCTCTAGCGTTTTACCCACTACAATTCCCAATCGAAAAGTGCGATTTGTACTGCTATTATTTTCAACGAGAAGTTTTGAAATCACGATTCCATGAAAAACATCGTGAGGGTACTTCTTAATTCTCAATAAATTTATTTTTGATTAGATTACTTAGCCAAACTGTTAGATGTCTTCACAGAATTCAATTCTCTTAGACGTATAGGATTTTCCATTACGACTATTCTTTAAAATTGGTTATCATGACCTATCTTTTTGTTTATTTTGATGTAGCTCATAATAACTTTATTTTCGACCGGGTTACTTAAACAAGTTTTCCTGGATCTTTTCAAGGAAACCGAAAAATAAATTTTCTTCGAGTTTCCTGCTTGTTATTGTTGTTCTAAGAATTTACTCCCTCTATTCTGATGTTATTATTATAAAGTAATTTAAATTATTTAAAAACCCATGGAATTTTTAAAATTATCGAACAAATTGACAACCTCACTACAAATTAGATATAAATATTTTGATAACGATTAAAAATGATTATTTCTAAAACTAAAAGTTATTATTCATTGATTGATAACTAAAAAATTTGATAAAATTAATCGAAATGTTAAAAATTAATTTATATTTAAACATTTGAACATTGCAAAAAATTGTCTTGGGACACTTAATTAAGATGGAAGATATTTAAAAAAATTGATTGTGGTCAAAATCGATTAAAAACATCTCTAAGATACTTAACGAGGTTAAAAGAGCCAAAAAAAAATAAATTTTGCGATTTTTGAGAAAATGTTGATTGGTGTGTGTCAAAATGGTTCAAATCTCTTAAAATTATTTTTATTTACTTAATTAGGATAAAAGATATTAAAAAAAATTGAATGTGATGATTTCCAGAAATTTCAAAAATTCGCAAAAATAAGAACTATTAATAAGTGTGAATCAAAATGATTAAAAACCACCTTAACAAACTTAACAAGGATGAAATTAATAAAATAAATCATCCGAATTCTATATACATTTACCGTAAATTTCCTTATCACAATTTTATCAGTTACGTTAAGTAAATAAAAATTTTTTTTAAATAAACTATTGAAAGCATTCAATAAAAAAGTATTAACTTAATTTTTCAAAGTAATTTAAATTATTTAAAAACCCCATGCTTCATATTCGCAAGAATGTTTAAAATTATCGAATAAATTGGTAACCTCAATAAAAATTAGATATAAATATTTTGATAACGATTAAAAATGATTATTTCTAAAACTAAAAGTTATTTGCCAAAAAGGAATTATTCATTGATTGATAACTAAAAAAATTGATAAAATTAATCGAAATGTTAAAAATTAATTTATATTTAAACATTTTAACATTGCAAAAAATTGTCTTGGGTCACTTAATTAAGATGGAAGATATTTAAAAAAATTGATTGTGGTCAAAATCGATTAAAAACATCTCTAAGATACTTAACGAGGTTAAAAGAGTAAAAAAAAATTTGTTGAAAAGAGTGAAAAAATGTTGATTGGTGTGTGTCAAAATGGTTCAAATCTCTTCAAATTATTTTTATTTACTTAATTAAGACGAAAGATATTAAAAAAAATTGATTGTGATGATTTCCAGAAATTTAAAAAATTCGCAAAAATAAGAACTATTAATAAGTGTGAATCAAAACGATTAAAAACTACCTTATGAAACTTAACAAGGATGAAATTAATAAAATAAATCATCAAAAATTAAGGTTAAATAAATAAAAAATTTTTTGTACCTACGCAAAAAAATTATTAACTTAATTTTCGCTCTTAAATATTTGGTTAACAAATAAAGCATTAAAGTGCATAATTTAATTCTAGCGCGTATTGCGCAAAACGTATTCGATTCTAATTGTAACCATTTAGTAACAAACATCAACTATTCAAACGGAAGTTTATCACCTCATTTATAAACAAACTTAATAAATAATATTGTAAGCAAACTTTATTTATTCATAATACGAAAAATTTTCACGTCTTGTGTTCAAAAAAAATAATGTGTACACTTAGTACGTGATTCATTAACAATTTTATTCTCAAAAAATTATTATTTTTGGTTTGGAAACGTTTAAGTATAATATATAAATATATCAGGAACGGGAAATGTGTTTAAAAAGAGAAAAAGGATTGAAATAGAAAAACCATTATGCACTCACATTGCTCAGATAATCGAACAATTGCGCATTAGTTTCGAATATAAGATATTGGCTACCGCGAATAAGCGTAATTAGACGGTGTCATTTTAATACGCAATCGCAACACATTGCATGTTCGAATTTTTATCAAGAACCCTACAATAAGTGTGATATAACATTCAAACAATAGAGCATTAATGATTAATAAAGTAATTACAGACAGTAATGTTTTGATTAAAATTTGATTCTCTTCGGTTTTAAATTCGAAAATTTCGTCATAAATAAATATTAACATCGTAATGAATTTTAGTAACCTTTGATTTAATTGATTTATTTTTCATTTCATAAATAATTGTGGTTTTCTTTTAGTTATTATTTATTTTTTGTTGTTAAGATATGTCCTAATAAACATGAAGTAAGAATTAAATCGTTATTCACATTACAAAAAATTAATTGATTTTTGCAATCTTTTATTATAATTGATTCTTTATGGTTTCAAGAATACCAATTTCAATCAACATTTCTATTTTTTTTATATATATATATATATTTTTTTTTCATCTTCTTATCTTAATAATCTTAAACTTTCACACAATTTCTCAGTTTCTTTTAATAAAAAAAGTTAAGGAAGTTTAATTTTAAAAGGTAAAAACGAAATCGAAAAATATATTCTTATCACGAAAAAAAAAAAAAGAAATGACTATTTTACAATTGATGATTCATTGCTATATGCTGTAATTTAATTCCTAAATTTTACCCAAGGTCAACTTTCTGTAAAATTACAAAAATCGTAGGTGAATGTTATAAGAAGTGCAATAATTGAAAAATTTCGTACGAGTTATCTTTCACCATATTTGACATTTAACCAAAAGATTAGCCAATCCTGCCTTTAACATCTTAAGTTATATCATAATGGCCAAACATCTCCAGGAAAGCTATTATTAAGTATCAATCCATCTAGACCAAAGTTGAACTAAGTTAATCCCTCTGCAACCTTCAGTAAAGTTTAAGCCTTGTTTATATCAGATGATATACCCAGCTGTTGGTAATTGAAATAATTAATTGTAATGGGAGTGTGGTCTAAAAAATTAATTTTAAATTCAAACATTTTGAGGTAAAAAGGACAAACTAAATTGATGAGATAAGAAATGTACTATTTTTTATTTTTTATTTATTGACGCATAATATAATATAAGTATATCCATAATATAACAGAAGAAAATTTGTATACATATTAAAAAAAACAAACAAACAACAAGAAAAAAGAAAAAAATGTGCGCCAAATGGAGATACCTCAGAACAGTGAAGAACACTGATCTGTTCTTCCGGCACCCCATAAAAAAAAATCTATCAACTAACTAAACTAACTAACTACTAACTAATGCTAAAAATAATAAACTTAAAAAAAAAAAGAAAAGAAACGAAAGGGCCACGAATCAACTATTACAGTGCAAGCATTACGAAAAACCAGCAATCATAACATAGTGTGTATGGAGTCTCGGAGAAAGAAAAAACAACTGCGCGACCTAGTCATTTATTACAGGTCAGAAAGAGCCCTTTGATTTTCTTCTTGAAGGAGATACCACCAAGGTGCTGGAATTCAGGAGGAACAGAATTATAATAGGAAACAATGGTGTAAGAAAACGACCTCTTAAACAGCTCAAGCCTGTGACGCGGTATTGCCAGGTAATCTTTTTTACGTATATTAACGTTGTGAACGTCAGTTCGGAAACGAATTCTTTCATACAAGTACTGTGGTACCCTCTTATTCAGCACATGGTGGTAGAAAACAAGGGCATGCAACCTACGACGTGCAGCCATACGCAGCCAACCGATATCCTCATAAACATGAGATATTCGATCGCGATTTCTCAAACCAGAAATGAATCTAATACAAGAGTTTTGTAGCTTCTGGATACGGTATTTGTCACGACCCTTGAGACAAGGTCCGTAAACGACATCACAATAATTAAGATTAGACAAAACAAGTGTTTCACAGAGCAATATTTTTATTCGTTTATTAAGTAGGAAACGGTGTTCATAAAGAGATTTAAGAGCACAGTACGACCACCGCATCATCGAACTAACATGCTGCGTAAAACGAAGTTCGGAATCCAGTATGACACCCAAATTTTTTGCTTCACTTGAAATATTCAATGGACTATTTTTAACAAAAATCTGTATATTATTTTTTATTCTATTCCTGCACGCTTTACTCCCGAACAATAATAACTTACTCTTATCGGGGTTAATAACTAAATTATGCCTTTCTGAAAGGCTAACTAGTGCATCCAGGTCCTGGTTAATATGTCTTTGCGCAACAGCAAGATCTTTTTCATTAAAAGAGGAATAAATCTGAGTGTCATCAGCATAAGCATGATACTTACAATGACGCAGACAGTCGTATAACCGGCATGTATACACCGTATACAAAATGGGACCCAACACAGAGCCCTGAGGTACACCGGATACGACTTCAGTGGGTCTAGATCTGTTTCCATGTATCATGACACTTTGTGACCTACCCGCCAGATAGTCAGCGAACAACGATATCGCACCACACCCAAGGCCTATGTAGTGCAAAATACTCAACAACAATGAATGATTAATAGTATCAAAGGCCTTGGAGTAGTCCAACATAACAAGCGCCGACATCTTCCCCTGATCAACCGCAGACAACAAGTCGTCAGTGATATTCAAAAGCGCTCCACAGCAGCCATGATGAGGTCTAAACCCAGATTGGAATTCAGGCAAAATATTACACGCATTCAGATAATGTCTAAGTTGTTTTGCTAAAATTTTTTCAAATGCCTTCGAAAGCACCGGCAAAATACTAATCGGTCTTAAATCCGACACC